ATTGTGAATGCAAGCCATCCTTTCTTTCGCTGATGAATATTTTATAAGTCTCGTTTAAAAAAATTGTCCGCCGTCGCGTGCTGCGACATAATTGCGAAGAATTGAGTGTTCCACCATGTCCCGCAGACACAGAATTTCCACTTTATGTGCAGCAAATCGAGTTTGTACTTGTCCGTTGACGTGCTTATACCATTCTTTCTTTTCCAAAGGTAACTATCGGAAGTGGAGCCAAACTTTTATCTTTCTCGTCAATTCAGTTACTCCATCTGTACATACGAGGCCTTAGATAAGTGGAGAAAATTTACTTTTTTGTAGCTCGGTATATGTATTCCTGTGTAGGAGGTTTATATTCTGAGTGAGTGCACGAGCGTTCCTGAAGATCACAAAGATTAAATGATTGCTTAGGACTGCGAGAATCAAAATGAAATTTAGAATGCTGGTTAATGTAAGAAAATATAAATAATATCCATCGTTTTCGCCATAAAAATAAGTCTTTACCAATTAAATAAAACTGAAAAGAAAATAAGCGATATATAAATTGCTACCTATTATGTTGTTACATTATTTAACAACTTTAAATAGATTTTATTTTTGATGCAGACTATCGTACACGTGTAATAAAAAGAGTTGGAAAGGAATTCGATTCTCGAAGTATTCACCGAATAAGAAAGTGTTTCAATTATTATACTAACTATATAGTTGTTAACAAAATTTGTCATAAAATTAATAAATTAATAAAAAGGTAGGAAAAAAAGGTAATGGTGATGCATCCCATATGAAAACAAAAAAGCATTTTATTCATTGTGCTAATGATGTAAATTTTAATGATATTATTAAGAAATGCGTTAGATATGAGCTTAGTTAGATATTCGATATTTTTGAAGAATAATTTCAAATCTTATTCCACGAGGCATAATTGCTAATTTGGCATGCTTCATAGCTGATTAAAGCAGTAAGGTGAAAACGATTGGACAATGATATTTGTAACTCTGGTAAGGAATATATTTTTAAAAATTAGAAGGGGAAAATATATTACTGCTAACAACTTCTTGTTTTAATCTAATGAAATACGTTTTTATGTACTAGTATGTAATAAATGTTTTAATTTTAATATTTCTTTTACAAATAAATATAAAATATTTGAATTTAAAAAATAAAACCTTTTTTATTTGATTTTCTTTTTAACACTTATCAGTTCATGTAAGATATACACACGACGTCAGATGAACATTTTGATTTCTGAATCAGTAGGAAATTTATATTCTTTTAGGAACCAATTTCTTTTGGTAAGCGTATCACATGCTTTGTAGGAATGAACTTCTAATCTAAGATTTTTTGTTAGTACCAAAAAAAGGTCGTTTTATATCGTAATTTCATCAAAATATTGTCTTATACATAGTATAAATTCTTGTATAATCATGTAAATATATAACTAATAAAGATAGCCTGATTTATTTTTAATTTTCTAAAGTCGAATTTCTAAAATTTATTTTTTGGTTCAAATTTCTTCGAATTTTTTAAGTTTCTGATCTTCAATTTAATTTCGTAAAGATATGTTTGTAAATTTCTAAAGTAAATATTATAAATGATATCTGTTATTAATTACAAAGTATCCGAAATATTAAAGTATCTCATTACAGGGAACTGAGTTAAAGTAAAAATGAATTTCTTATATTGAATCATTCTAAAAGATATCTGAGAAGATGTCCACTCTGTGTCAGAAACATCGAAAAAATTAAACAAAGTCTAGAAATTTGGTTCATTTCTTAAATATTAACAAGATAATTTTTCTTTCTTTCTTTCTTCTTTTTTTTTTTTTTTTTTCCGAAATATGTGTTCCACTTTCTCAAAAGAAAAGACAACTAAAATTACAGGTTTTACGTCTGGCCTTGATTAAGACAAGATTAGACCCGAAACTTCTCCTTATAATGTTTAAGTATCGTTAGCTATTAAAACAAACAGACCAATCGCGAGGCCTTTTTGCCTTATCGTCCGTCTGTGCATTAAAATTTACGAGACAGGACCGCGATCAGATTGTATAAAAAGAATAGCCATTTTAGTCAATGAGTGTGCGTCTACCAAGCAGGTGCTCACGTGTTTAATGAAAGTCTGGGAGTGCTGGTACTCAGTCTATATCATGAGTCATGGGGAACTCATTACCATACCCTGCAGCTACTTTTAAGGATTTCTGAAAGAAAAAAAAAAAGAAGAGCATAGGTTCTCTGATCAGCATAAGAAGTATTTTTTTTTTTTTTTCTTTCTGAGGGGGATCGGAATCCCTCCCTTCATGCATAGATATAGGTATTGTTTCTGAGACAGAAGCGCGTTTTCTGATGAGAAGAAAGAGATGAAGTGTTCCAGAAAATACAGTAAAAGCAGCCCCGGTTTATTTATTTATCCTAGGTCTCTGCTGGGGGTTCATTGAGTAGAGACAGGAAGTTCTGCGACACTTGTTAGCCATGAACTCCGTCTGCAAATATTTTAGTAAAAGCTGATGGGAACGGCAGGGAAAAAAAGTTTGATTTTTCTGCAAAGGTTAGTGTCTTAGCCTGACGAGAATAGTAGTTGTCAGTGAACTTTTAGAACATGGATTGCAAATTAAGTTAGCATCCGGCAAGTTCGCTGTTGTGCGATGATATTTTTTGGAAGGAATATTCGTGGTGCTTTCGTCGTCTCTTCAATACATTACGCATAAAATTTAGAGAAATAAAATGTACAATATAGCCTGATTGCTTTCTTACCTTTTGCTTTTATTATAATGCCATTTGTAAAAAAAAATCTATTCTAAATTCGCCTACGCTATTTTATGTTTTTATAAGTTCTTACTCATATTATTCTTAAAACTCAATACTGATTTCACGCCAGGTTTGCAAGAAAATGAGTAATGAAAACCATAAAAATATTATTAAAAATTAAAAATTAATATCTGAAAGGAATCAGATTTTAATGGTGACTTAAAAGGGCTCGTTTAAAGTTTAATGTGTTACCAGTAGAGATTATCAATAGAGAAGATGGCTCAGCTGGAATAGCGAGACGTATTTTAGGATACTATATGAATATGCATTTAGACTAACATGGGAATATATTTCTTCGCTGTATATTTGAATTTTAAAAAACATCATTCTATAAAATATTTAATGTTTTTAATTAGATATATCTTGAATGGAATGCATTTTTATTTAAATCAATCCGATTAAAAATTAGGAAAATAATATTCTTTAGAAGTGTACTTGTTGCTTTTATCTTAGTTTGTTATTCAATAACAGAGAGATTAAATTTGAAAGATAAATATATTATACGTATTTTGCCGAATGGCAACAGTCTCGAATGAAAAGATAAACAATGCAAAACCATGTTTCGAGATTAATAACACGTCTGAGCTAAGAGGGTAAAGAAAAAAAAAAAAAAAAGAAAAGAAAAGAAATTAGGGCGATGTCATTGCAAATATCTTTTAACGTCATTTTACCATCCTTAATAGTCAACAAATTTAACTATTATCCATCGCCTAGTGATCCTTAATGTTATTTAATGTGCTGAAATAATTTAATGAATGGTTTAAATTATTTATAAATTTAGGAGCATCTAGTGTAAGTGCAGATGCTCTTTAGTTAATTTTCAGAGAAAGCAATTTAAATAACACCTAACTGCCAATGAGTTACAGAGAACTGCGTCTCATTAAATTCATTGCAAGTTAAAACTATCACAAATCGAAAACTCATCTAATATTCAACCTGTCAAATATAATAATTAGCTTAAGCTATTTTAAATGTTTTAGGAAATTTACATTAACGTTTCGTAAAGTAATTTAATATAAACTGCTCCTCTGATAAAGTGCTGAATATCTATTATAATTCATTGAATATTGTTTTACCGAAAGTGATTGCAGCATTTTTGTGATGGTCAGTGCCTTACAGATTGGTTGCAGAATATTTGAACGAGTCAGTGTTTTAATCACCGTTAACGAACACAATTGAAAACACACTACACCTGAAGACTGTAACTTCTGAATGGTATGAATGGTATCATCAATTTCTCCTTCTTTTAATGAGGATCAAGATAATTAATTGTAAGAACATTGTTTTGGGTATTAACACTTGTGGGTTTAGTAGTTTCCTTTATCTCCTGTATACTCCGTAAAACAGATAAGACCGTATTATCTCCGCCGGTAAATGACTTTGAATGTATGCGATGCGTGTATCATGTTACAGTTTGTAACTTGCTGGATTAGTATCATACTGGTGTTCAAGTTAACGCATCCACGGCTAGGATTGACTTTCATGTAGTTGCAGAAGTGATTTTAGTTAAGGTAAAAAAAAGTCAACTACCGGAAAATTTATATTGGCTTGACGGTATAGCACAGGTTAGAACTTGTCTGAGAAGTTTTTCAAAGAAGAATTCCTGCATTGCGTTACTATAAGGAAAATTAAAGCGGACATTGATGAATGTTACGTAAGTGTATCGCTTTTGGATCGTCATTCGTCGAAATGTCGTAAATCGAACCACTGTAAATCAAAAATCATTTGTAACCTATGGTAAATTCAGAGGAAGGTAAGGAAACAAATAGTATTCATCTCGAGGAGAGAGGTTCGCCTTCCTTCCCTGTGCTGCGCGCCACTGAGCGGCGTGCCAAGCACAGAAAAATTCAAATAAAACTTTTGAAATGGTATTCGTTATAGATGCTTCGGGGTAATAAAATATCATCATTAGCAGCAATTGTCTTCATTCCTCAACATTTTAACAAGGAATTCAATCAAGACTTTTTTTTACGTATTATGTTAGAGTTCAAGTCAAGTAATCCGACTTAAGGGGGAGTGAATAGAATTCAAATAACCGTGAATGTCAAGTAATATGAAAGTATTAAAGGGTGATTATTGAAATAAAGCGGCTGCATAACATTTTATTACAAATTTAATGGAATAAAAGGGAGATGCATTTACTGTACGTTGAAATCAGTACACTATTTTATTATTTATAAAATATTTCTCCCCTCGTTTCCGCGTGCTTTCATGGTGTAATTGGATAGCACGTCCGACTAGCAATCGAGAGGTCCAGTGTTCGAATCCCGGAGAAGGCACTGCCCATTTTTTACGTTTCGTAGAGATGTGACGTGCCCAAACTAAAAGATGCTGGACGACCACCAGGATTTGGTGATTAGGTCCCCCCATGGCCTGTTGCCATTTAAAAGGCATTTTCTTCCTCCTTTCCGCGTTCCTTCGTAATTGGATACCACATCCTAAGCAATCGAAATGTATAGTGTTCGAATTCCAGCGATGGCTGCATATTTTCACGTGTCCTGCATCCATAAATCTAATGACTATGCATAGTATTAACGCCTATAGCACTAAAATGGTTCGTTGGAAGACAGAGATAAATCCTTAACAATATATAGAGCACTGTTTGTGTAAAAACTGTACAATGAAACTTTTAGGCAGTTTTACTATGTATTCTATAAAGTTTAATCAATTATTCTACAAAACTCCAGGTAGCACGGTCTGGATCAGCATTTTATTTTTCTTAGTTCAAGCTAAGTTTCAGCATCATCTTTAATAGTTTCTAATGTGAATTCGGTTTTGATGATTTCTTGGATAACCCGTAATACCAGCTGATCATGTCTTTGAAAACTAGAAGAGTTCTCCGAGCGTCTGTCAGTTTGCGATAATTTTTCATCCATCTCTTAAATTTAAATTTGGAGAGATCTATACATCATTTGAATTCACTGCAATCTATACATCATCTGAATTCGCTTAGCTTATCCAGCTGTGGCTAAGATTTACCGCCTGTTGATTGACCCGACTCTACGTGGTTCCTGGTTTCTCTGGTTTCTGATAAAAGATTGAGAGTACCAGTCTGGAGTGACATTCGGTCATTAATAACTGGATATGGTTCGTAATTAATCAAAATACATACACCACCGTTAACAATAAAATTCTCACTCGCAGCTCTTAAGAAGAAATTCGGGTTGAAAGCGGGTGGTAAAGGAGAAAGGGGTGGGTGAGCTGGAAGGGAAAAAAACATTCTCTGGGCTCCACACAACAGCACCGTCAATCATAACTTTCCGCTTCCAAAATGAGAAGCACTCCCTTGCGAATGGAACTCATTAATTCTAGCCTCCTGTGTATGCTATGCACGCTTTTCCGAGTCTGCGCTCGTGCCGATAAGTGCTCGGCCGCTGATAAATAGGCAGACTGGTCAAGTTTATCTTGCAGCTCATTTCTGCATTAGATCCTCTCTTTCCTCCCCCCTTTTTTTACTTTATTTTCCCCTTTTTAATCCTTGAAATTCTCTTTTTTCTTCCTAAAAAGTCGCTTGCTGTTACTCACAAAGCACGTTTGTGAATTTCCCAAGAGGAATAAATCCATCAATAGCGAGAAGATTATCGGAAACTGAGAATTCCCATTTCTTTTGAATAATTTGCCTTCGGTATTTGTCGAAGAATTATCAGTACCCCATCGACCAGGGAAAGATTCGCGCAAAGATCTTCTTTTGAAGAATTTTCAGATGATAATTGCCGAAGAAGAGTTATTACTTCCATCGATCGAAAGATTACCAAGAACAGCTCTTATTTTTGAATAGCTTCCTGTTAATTACTGTCCAGGATAAATCCAATCCTCACCAGCGTTAAGAATGTTATCGAAAGTAACTCGTTCTTTTGAAGTACTTTTGGCTGTTGTTTATTCATTAAGTATCTATGCCTAATTAATGAAATAATTTCCGAAAGGGTCATTTTTATTTCTTGAAGCATTAGTGGAATTATGGTGATGCTACGTTTTGGTGAAAGATATGCTGAAACATTCTAGAGAGAGAGAAAATCTCGAACATACTCAGATATCTTTGGCAAGAGCAATAACATCTTCTTATAGTGTTCAGTAACTCTTAATTTAAATAGCGATATCTTGATGGAATGCTAATTTTAACAGCCTTTACGATTTCACCTCATGCTCTTTAGTTTATGTGTAATAAAATCGAATGATAGTACCTTGACGGAATGATTTTAATCCGCTTTCATCTTAAGTTGCATGGTGTCTACATTTTCAAATAAATATGTGAAGATTTAAAAAGGATAAGCAAGGAAACGATGAAATATTATCAGAAAGATTCGTAATGCAGTTTTTATTTTGGTGTTCTTATTTCTGCTGTTTGCAAAAATTTGGTTAACTCTTGAACTCTGCGTTAAAATCTTACTATGGTTAAATAAACGGTTTGTTGATATTTCGATATACAATATTTAAAAACAAATGATTGTTTTGAATGATGATATCTTTGAAATACAACTATTCTCATTTTAAAATGACGATTCTGTTGAATGATAGTGTATTTAAAATACCAGCATGCAGCAGTATTTTAAATAGAATTAATATTTTGTTGTGAAAAATCGATGAATCGAATAAATATCTGTAATGAAAGTTGTAGATCACTTAGCGTTTGGAAAATTCTTTCATTAGGGACGATCTGTTACCAGTTACAAAACCGGAATGACTTCGTTACAAGTAAATATAAATGATGCATTTATCTTTCTGGAACACGTTTTTTGATGCCAATCTTACAAAATTAAATGTTGCTGTATATCAGTGGCTATATGAAATCATTCGTAAGTCTTTCTCCTGGTCATTTTCTGATGATACATTAAGTGGACCACCTTCAAAGAATTATATTTAATGTGGTACTATGCAATGCAAAAAACTCTAAATATTTGATCTGTAGGGAGAACTGAGCCTTAGGACAGATATTATCTTAGAGAATTTCCTAAAGCAATCTGTCTTGAATTTATAGTGCACGAATTACTATAAAACCGCTTTGTAATTAACGCGTTTAGCTACTAAAATCTTACTGTTCGTGACGAATTTTTACTGGTAAGGAGTCTTAAAATCACTTGGGTATTGCCTTGTTTAAGACATCTTTCAAAGCATTGTCCGTCCTGTTTTCCAAAGATGCAAGAGATAATAAATTGAGTTTAAGATTATTCCCAATGCCCAGTATCATTCGTGTGCTTTACCAAATATTTTTAATCAACTAAAAATTTTAATAACCTTATTTATTTTTATTTCTATATTTAATTTTTTATCTGCAATATATCAATAGCTACATTGAGTAGCTATACACTAGTAGCCAGTTAGCGATAGCCGCAAAACACTAGGAGCTTGTACCGTGTTCTTTACCCTTTGATTAAATGAGGGTTGCTGGGTTTTTCGTGATTTTGAGCCATTTGTAACATAAATATGAGCCAGTTTCCTTCGGAGAAGCTTCCATCTAATCATTTAAGCAGATTGACCAAATGTGGTTTATCATTATTAAAATAATCCAAAGCAATACATTCTATGTACATAGCATAATAGTGCTTGATCAATTTTATCGGCTGGCTAGCGTACATCTTTCGAGTTAACAAGGAAGTGAAAGGATTATGTGACTTAATCCGAATCGAGTATTACCGCCGGGATGAATTAAAGCGCCCTCTTGCTGCTTGGCGCTTCTCGACCAATCAGTCACTCGGTTATTCTAATTCAATCTTTCTCAGCTATATTTGTCGCTATTCCAAGTGTCGAGCTCGATCTTGTCCGAGTGAAATTCGAATTCACTCCTCTTTCCGGTGTGACAGGACATGTCGCTTCCATTTGCACTTCTCCACCGAAGGACAGGACAATCATTTGGCGGTTTCGGTGGCTTTGAAGCCAATTAACGCCAAGTTAATTTTACAAATACAGGCCGGCACGTTCTCTTCTCACCCGAGAGAATTCCCATAACTGCATTCCCACTTTGGCTCATGAATAGTAAAATGGCTGCCGGGCCTGCTAGGAATTCGGATTTGCGGCTTCACGCCCATGTGCCGTTATTAAAGCTCTGCGTCTTGCGTAGCCACGGAAATGGAAGCTGCCTCTCGGGCCACATAGGAGCACAGTCCATTGGAATGCAACGCTTTATTGGTTGCTTGGCCTTTCCAACTTCGAAAAACCCGCCTTGTCTGAAATTCTGTATCTGTTTTGTGTGGCTAAAGCTACAATTTATCATCAAATTGGCTTAATCTTATAGTCATAAGTTTAACTGATCATATCTTAATGTGATATTTATTTTCTCAGTTTTCCTATTTGCCATATTTCTTTTCTGGTGATTCGATTCTCAGAAAAAATGATTGGTTGTTGGATGTTTCGTGAGCTTTTTCTCAGTTTCATATTTAAATAAGAATTATGCCATAGAAATTCGTTATTTAAGCTATCTCTTCGTAACATTCATGTATTAGGCTTTTGAGAAACTGCTTTTCAGTTGTTTCAGTTTCAGCTGTTGTTGTTTTCTTCTTACCTACATTACAGTAACTAAAATATTCCTCTTTTGTTTGCTTAAGTGCTTTTCCTGTATGGTTATTATTGAAACATGATGCCTTTTAACAGAACGCTTAAACTATCAGAGCTAGAATAGATTTGATTGAACAGAACAGAATATATATGAAATAGAATGATATAATTTTGATATGCTTTGTTAAAATTTTATATGTATTCGTAGAATTGATATAATTTTTTTATTTAATATGCATTTATGGAATTTTAATATGCTGGTTTGAATAAGCATATAAACAGGAACTTTAATCTGAAATTGCTGTAAGTCTGATTCTGATAAATTGTCTTCCACGGTTAGAAAATCTGCGTATTACAAGTTATCTTCCTCATCCCAAATTTGAAAATTTTTTAAACATTAGATATATAAATTTTACAATAATTTCCCAAAAGGCTCACTAAGACAAATTATTACGACGGAAATTCAATAAATAGTTTACAAAATGGTTTGTGATGGTAAAAAATTGCCATGAATATTTTCAAAAGGTGTCGCCAAGTAGCAACGCTGTCATAATTCGTACTCAGTGAGCAACGCCATCGATCACTCAGGGCGTGCCAGGGCAATGTGAAAATGTCAACCGAGCTAAGGAATGTATATTATAGGAGCAACGGGATTTTGGTGTGTGTCTTTATGCAACTAGTCCATTTCCAAACACGACAGCTTCTATGTCACACTGCAATATAATATTGTAATGTAGATCAGTTCTGAAAATGCCGGAGCTTGATGAGGCATGGTTTAGTACCCTCTCGA